ATGCTTGACTAGGGAAAAACCCCTTTCAATAGAGGAGCATGTGCAACAATTCCACAAATAATCGCTATCCAGGGCAAGGCACATTGATATGGAATTTTTGTTTTCGTGCAAATTAAGGAAAAAAAACAAAACAAAACAACATTGTTTCGGGGGGAAAGATGAGGAGCAAAGTGTCTTCCCAAGAATTTCAGTTACTTGATTGTATAGGACAGTAGTAGAACCCTTCTGAAGGGCTGAAAAACATAGTTTAAAGGCAAGTGCCTAGAGTAGGGATTACAATATTGTGTCTTAATGCACTCTACTTTATCCTACATTAACTATATAAAAATTAGTTACTAACACTAGAACATGCAGAGACTTTCTCTGATCAGCAGGGCTTGCCAACCAGAACGTATATATATGTATAGTATAGGAAACCTTCTTGAAGTCGCATGGGAAGCAAAGGGGTGCTTCGCTGTCTGGTAGAAAAATCACTTGCACTTTTTTTTATGTTTCTGTGGTTTTTTTGTTTTTTGTTTTTTTTTGTTTTTGTTTTTGTTTTTTTTTTTCATAAGATACAGGACATTTGGGGGTGCAAACTCTTTTTTTCCCTAACAAGTACCCCTTGATCTGAATGGGCACCAGCATTTGTGTCAGTATTGGTTTCATTATTATTATTATTGTTACTATTATTATTTCCCATAGCCCAGTTCAGGGACGCAAAGGTCTTTAAAACTTCTGGACAATCTCTGGTACAATGAGGTGTCTGATAACTGATAAATCCTATGATGCCAGATACGTGTAAAATTTTTTAGAATTGGCATAATCCATTATAGTGACTTCTAGCTTATAAAATTAACAGATACCATGATTTCATTTTAGTCATGTGCTTTGATAACAGAAAATAATTAATTAGCATTTAATGTAGTTAACATATTGTGGTAAAAGCACCATTAGATTTGTTTTTTTGTTTTTTTTTTTAAATTTCCTTCAGTTTTTAAAGGGATACAAGTTTAACAATAAAAAACATAAAAAGCAAAAATAGCTCCCCTTTTTCTTGCAAGGCTGTTTTTTACCCCAATAATTTAGAGTCCTGGGGTGAAAGGACTTGAAAAACAAAAATAGAATTTTCAACAATCTCTATCTTACAAAGATATTTAGCTATCCAATGAAATTGCACTTTACTCAATTCAAAATTCGATTGTTTTGATTGATTCCTGTCAGTTTCTGTCAAAACAGACCATCTTCCCCATTTCCATGTGAATTTTTGTGTCATTGTTGAAATTGTTGAAAAAATGTTGTTGTTGTTGTTTTTTTAATGTAAGTGCAGCATTTCAAAACTTTTAAAAAACTGAACAGTAGTAGTAGTAGTTTGCCATTTTCGGAATTGTTCTGCAATGTGAGTGGATTCATTGTCCTTGCGGGCCATGTTATATACTTAACTGCTGACTGCTGAACCAAAACAAACTAAAAGAACAAATAAAAAAGGAATACAACTGCATTTTCTTTTTCCAATATGTTACAGAAAAACATTGCCCTTTGACTGTCCTGTAAGTTATATATTGCAGATCTCAGCTACTACAAAAGATTTAGTTCTCCATGTGCCTCCTCAATGCTCAAGGAGGATCACACCTGTGTGGGTAAATTCATGAAATACTGTGAAACAGCCGGGCTCCGTAAGGAAAGTGTGTTACAACAGGAAGTCAGTGAGCAAGGGTAGTCCTCTGCTAGCCACGTCACCTAATGCTCACGCTACCATGGAAACACTTCAAATGTTACAAAGCCCAACCATTTCCAGCACCATATGAGAAATTACAACAGTCCCTAAAGTATTTAAAAAAAAAAAAAATCCCAAAAGGTTATGGCCTTTGCTGTTTGACCATAATGCTTGCTGTTTCCATGTACAAGTTGATTTGAATCGGTTTTTCTCCCCTTCCACTGACAGTGAAGTTGTAACTGCGCTGGGTTGAGGTTGCGTCCATGTTACAGAGTTGAGAAGGGGTCAGGTGGTCTGTCTGGTGGATGGTGGGACGCTGCAACTTTTATCCCAGGTACCAGGACTGGAAGACAAAAGGAAAAACATAATTAAAAGCACAATTTGCAAAAAAGTATGTTTTAGAAGTTGCCTTTTCAACCATGCAACCAGGATCTACGTTAGGGATGTGGAAGGGATTCGCTGGGAAAAGTAAAGTCATGACAGACAATAATAAATCCTGTGACACTGAAACTGATCTTCCTCTTCTGAAATTATAATTCATTGTCTTCGTTGGGGTTTTCTAACATTCTGAGCGTGTCTTACAAAATGAGGTATTTCTGTTCACTTGAAATACAAATAAGGGTTTCGTTATCTGATGGGGGCAGTTATAGGAGGGCAGGAAACTTGACCATCTTGTTTATCATTCAATCCTCAGTGCCTAGCCCAGTGCCTGGAATACAGAACGTTCTTAATGAAGAAGAGTTGAATGAATGGAGAATGGGTGAAGGGAGGGGCTTCATGTGGCAATGAATGGCTACTCTGATGATTTTCAACATCTCCTTTCAAATGAGGTGCAGGCACTAAATACATGATTGTGACACTCTCCTAACAGGCCCAGATGGTCAATAGTGATACAAGAGTAAGTGGAGGTAAGGTGGAAAAAGTGCTGGACCCAGTCTTCCTGGGTGATTTTGAGCAAGTCGCAGTATTTTTCTTTCCTTATATATGTCAGATTTTATGAGGGAAGATGCTCCTTTCAGCCCAATATATCTAAAATAGTATTTTCAAACATGAAACATAATAACTAAGTAGGATCAAGATTTTACTCTATTAAGTACCACCCTGACCAAAGGAAAAATGACGCCACTGCATACACTTCATTCATGCTTGCATTCATGCAGCATTTATTTAGAGCCTTCTGTGTACCTGCTGGGCCCAGTTACTGGTTACCTTTTCCTTTCGTAAATTCTTAGGTCATTAGCTTTGAGCAATTGTCTGATCATCTATCACTTTATCTGCTGGCATTTCTTTTTCTGTTAGCTAGACAGAATGAGCAATTATGGACTAACATCAGAGTTAATTTCTCCAGTGAAATAAAAAAGTATGTGGCTTTTGCCGACTTTTCTCTAGAGATACCTGACAAATTCACTACATTTATCATTATTTACAGAAAAATTACCAAAGCCTAACAAAAGTCAAGGCTTCTGAATTCTTTAAGTTGACGGTATCAGAAAGGGTTCTAATTGGGTAGCTTCAGGCAGGTGAAGGATCATCCCTGTGGAAGAGATTCAATTAGGTAAAGTAAGGACTCGTTTGGTCCCCAGGGATGAATGGCTAAGTGATAGCTACATGGAGTTTGGTATAAGATTTCCTAGTCACACAAGCCACCTTTGATTTCCAGAGAAGTTTAAAAAACTGAAGCCCAAACCGAAAAACGACTCATCCTGTAGACTTTTAGATGTTATTCTTTGACCACATGCTTTGAGGAACACAATAAAGCCTCTTGTGTCCTGAAAGGAAATCAGCCTGGCAAATACACACGGCCTAAATCTAACTGGATAAAAGAAAGAAGAGGGGCAGAGAAAGGAGAGAGAAGGCGAGCCCCAAAGTGTGTTTCTAGTAGGCCTCTACCTAACAGCTGACTCTGATCCACGTTAGAGCTGCTTCCTCTCTTCTACAAAACGGGCTCAAACTTTGGGTGTGGGGAATAATGCTTACTATTTCTGTTTTCACACTTTCTAAGTCGGGTTGTGAAATTCCAGACTTCTTTAATCTGACACTAAGGTAGTTCTTGAAGCAAAGGCCTGGCACCCAGTGAGTCAGCAGGGGGAGCAGTTTTCCACACCACAGTTTCTGGAAGAGACCTCAGGGCACTACAAAAATCTGCAGTGCCTCTGCACTTCTCTTAAAAAGCAAAGCAAAAAAAAAAAAAAAAAAAAAGTTTCTTCACACATCTTACTATTCAGTATGTGCCTTGCCGACAAGGTTACCCCAGAGCAGCTCTGTAATCCTTCACTGAAATAGGCTTTATTGATTGCTCTGGTCTATTGTTCTCTTTTCAAGTCCCCCAAGTTCAAGTTCATCCTGGTGTTACATCATGTCTGGTTGCTAAGAGCAACCAGACAGACCCAGACGTGACTATCATTAGCAAGAAACCCTCTGCTCTCCTCCCACCAACCTTCCAGTGGTTCTGACGTAGCAGGCCCACTGCAAACACATTGAAGTATTTATTCTGCCTAATTTATGACCTACACAGCAAGCAAGACCCCCACTCCAAAAACCAACACTGTTGTATATTTAATTAATCTGTCTTTCTCTGGCACTTGGGAAAGTTAGACAAAGGACTAATTATTGTGTTTCACTCTCCACACTTTTCTTTTGGGGGGTGGATATTTGCATGGGAAAGAAAACTACAAGGCCCAGCATCAGCCCCCCTCCTCTTTTTCTTTTTGCCCTATTGACATTTCATGAAATACTTTAGCTGCTTAAGGGAATTAGAAAAAAAAAATGCGATGTGAATGTTACTCCTTCTGAGTTGGTATTCAGTAACACAAATCAACTCATGACATGTTTAAATTTAAATGCTAACCACACACTCTCAGAGTTACTTTAAAGGTTAGTTTTTAATCAATAGAAGTTGCTGACTCCGGGTTTTTGAGCTGCGCGCTGCAACTCTTGGGCTTTTGTCTAACGTTAAAGCTTTCAAACTTTTTTTTTCCTTGAGATGATTTTAGCAATGATTTGCAGACACAGAAGGCTATTGTGCTCTGACCAGCAACATGTCAATAGAGGGGCTGAGCTGCCCTGTGGTGGGGTGTCAATATGACTCCTGAAGGCAGAGGTTGGGGGTCTTTAATAACCCGTGAAAAAACCTTAATTAACCCTTTCAGGCCCAAACCAAAACCTATTCTTAAACTTGTTCACTCCTATAATTTGACCATTAGTACTTATTTCAACATCACACTAATCTTCATGACAATTAACCCAGCTACTTGACCAAGGTTTTCCAGAATAGGAAGTTGGTTAGGGGAACCACACAGGGAAATTTTTTTTTTTTTTTTGAAGTCTCTGATTAAATCACTTATTTGCAGAGATGGCAGATAGAGAGTTCTAATAATAATAATAATCACAATTCATACATCTCCCTGAATTTTCTCCTAATCAGTTTGTAGTTAAAGATACTCATAATCCCATTGGGATGAGTGTGACAGTCACACATGTGTAAGCCAATCAATTTCCAGAAACTTCTATGAGCTGCTAGTAACACCAGATGGACAATATAATGTTTGTAAAAGCCTACTTTTCTCTTGTGATATTTTCTTATAATTTCTATTATGCAAGCAGTACAAGTTTTAGAACATTAATTGAGGAATGGTTTTGCATATTTTCTTCCTGGGTCATATAGGAAAAACATAAAAGAAATCTGAGATTATTCGATTGTTGGGGTTGAGTAGCTAATCACTGGGAAAATGTTGACACATTAAACAAAGACCATCCTCAGACATTTAGTGACATAAGCTTAGGTTTCATATGGTTTTTGCCTTCGTACTTTATAGCCCCTTAATCTACTCTACTGTATCCAAATGGACTACAAAGGAATCTCCCTCCCTTATGTGCAGTGAGTGGCATTATTACAATACGATATAGGATGATGTTATCTTGATACATTTACATTAAGGAAGTAAACACAGAGCTTTGATCTATTTTTTCCTCAGGAACTTTCAGCTATAGTTGTTGTGGAGGTCCATAAATGCACACTCCCACCAAGGCTCCAGTTACGTAAAATTAGTTGGTAACATTCACAATGTCTACAGTTTGGGATGTGCTGAGCGGGAGTGGGGAAGGAAGGGGGGTGACTGTCCTCTTTCAGTGTTCAAGGTGAAACATCAAAAGAAATCTGCAGTCCAGGACAAGAGCTCAGCTTTCCTTTTCTCCAGTCAAATGAAGAAGTAATCTCATCAGGTTGGAAAAGTGCTGACTAAGGATTTAATAAAGTGCCTGCAGATGTGGCGTCTCTAAGGTATTCAACTCATGTAATGCAAAACAGCTCCACACTGAATGTGCTTATAAAATTTCATTTAACGATTGCAGCGCGACTTTTTCCCCCTCACAGTTCTCTGAGGAGTTTTATCACACTTGCCGCCCGTTAATTTACAGCTCCATGAAAGTTCGAATCCCATTCCGCTGGGATTCTGGAATACTCACAGTAGTCGGGTTTTATGAACCATAAACAATATCTATCCGACTGCATCCTAAACAGGAAGCCTCAAATGGCAGAAGGTACCTCTGACGGTGCCAATCTCTTCCATTTCTTACGCCTCACAGAGAGCAATCAGAACACGCGGGCCATCTTCCAAAATGTGGTCATGGGGCTGCCGAAGACACAGCTGATGAGGACCATGGCCTCAACCCCTGAGTTAACAACAAATGCTCCAATGTGTGCAACAACATTTTAAAAGGCTTTTTACATCCTCTTTTTACTAACAGGGCAGGATGCACATTCTAGAGGAAAAAGAAAAATGTCTGAGAAACATGTTTTCTATTTTCTATTTTACTTTACCCCCTAAAAGGAGCAGAGAGTGCTAGGGTGGCAGGGGCAGAGAGGGCAGAGAGGACTGTGATGCAGCAGAATCTGTTTTTCAGATTAAAAGCTTAAACAAAAGGCCTCAAGGGCAAAGTTGAACACTGCGGAAGGAGGTTGTTAATGTGGAATCCAGCACTGGGTGTGACACTTGGCTTTCTTCTGCAGGCAAGGTGGGTTATTTGAGGACATTCACACGCAGAAAACGGAAACGTGCAAACACAGGCTGGCCTCCCTGCACCCTGCAGGCCCAGCTCCTCCTCAGCCCCCAAAGAGGCTCAGCCAACCAATAAGCCAAGACTCCAGGAGCTGCTGTCACTGCTGTGCATTCTCTCCTGGGGAGGCGCTAGCTTTGCTGGGTCACACTGCTCCAGTGGGTCATTTTTGGCTTCCCGCACTTGTGTGGATGGACTCAAGTCTACTGTTGAGCCCAAATGAGTTGTCCCTGGCAAATCAGCCAAAAGCCGGGTAGTCTCTTCTCCCCATCTCAATATGATGGAAGTGGATGGGGCCTCTGAGCGGACTGCAAGTTTCTCACATTCGCATAAACCATTTGGGAGCATTTATTCACTCATTCAATAAGCACTAAGGGCCTTCTATGTGCTAGGTGCTATGTACGCTGGCTCTGTGGATATAATGAGTAAAATATAGTCCCTGTCCTGAAGGACTTTCTTGTCTATCAGGAAGCAGGGGCTAGATTCTAGACCCTAAAGGATACCAGAGAGCCTGCTTTTCTCCCAATAGGATTTTGTAAACTTTTGGCAATGAACGATGCCCAGTATCCAGTGTCCGAAGGACTCAGGATTGGTGTCGCCTTTTCCACTGACCAGCAGTGTGACTTCAAGCAAGCCAGTCCCTGTCCTGGGAACCTCAAGAGTCTTGTGAGGACCATTCTGTATTCGTAAGAGGCAGCAGTGATTTACACTGGTTTCTTCTGAAAAGGGGGTCATGCTGTACACAGGTGTTAGTTACTGGTACTGCCAGCCTTAGGCTTTGATCTCTGTAATCATTTTTCTTGCCTGATTTTATTTTCTTAATTAAAGAAAGTCTGTTTTCAGTAACTCCGAACCAAGACTTGTTTATTGTACAGAAAACTATTAAAACAGTAATGGGCCGGGACTGGCCCCAGGCACCTTTGTGGCCTTATCTTTTCACCACTTGTCCTCAACACTTGTGTTGCCTTAAACTTTTCCAGATCCCCCAAAGCCAAATGCTTCCTCCCTGCCAGGCCAGGGCTCAGGCTTTCCCTCTCCTTGGCTTTGCTAATGCTTGCTAGTCCCTGGGTTCTAAGATGAGATGTTCCTTCTTCAGAGGGGTCTTCTTGGGGCCTTTACCCTCAGGATTCTCCTCTGTCACAGTTGCTAAAGTTTAATTACCTGTTTTCATCCCAGGCAAGCTGGCTATCTAAGGGATGCCAGGGTAGGCATGTAATAAATACTGTTAAATAAATAAAGGAGGGAAGGAAGAACAAGCTGTATCCGAGGTTCTCAAAGCCTGGTGTCAGTCACCCCAACAAGTGCAAAGCAAGGCATCTGGATGGATGACTTCTAGCATGCTCATGCCACATGACCATGTCTCCCCAAATGACAGACACTCTCCCTCGAGGGACACAAGTCTCCACAAGCCACTCCAGGCAGTTTCGATGGGAGAGTTGTTGCAACGGGGCCAACTGCGGCCAACTGCGTCAGTAGCATGTGCAATAGTTTTGTAACATGGACTGCTGCCTACTTACTACAAGCTCAGAGGAGTTGTCCAAACCACTGATCCCTGGAGAATGACTGTGCTGCTCCCAGCCAAGACCTCCGTTTTGGTTCAAACCTCAAGACGGGAAAACACTAATCTTTTTACCCAATAAGCCATCCAGTACCTCCAAACCTTGAGAGTGCATACAGAATCCAATTATTTTGACTGTTCATCCAGAGTCCGAATCTTTCACGAGATTCCAGCTTGCCCTAGTGTCTCTCTTACCACCAAGTACATTTTTCTTTTGGTCTCCCTTCCTTTCCATTTTTCATCAAGTAACCGTTTACCTCATGAAATCAAAGACTGCTGGATTAAACATTGCACTCTGGCCCACCTGCATTTGCTTCAAAATCTTACTAGAGAGCTGCGTGCACAGCTGTAAGAGCCAGGACTCTGGGGTCCGAATGACAAAAATCCTGGCACCATTATGAACTAGTTAGATACTACCTTAGGCAAGTTAGCATCACTAGGTCTCAGTTTTAGACTCCAGGAAATGGAGGTAACAACTTTATCAGTTTTTGTGCGGATTAAAAGCCTGGCTAGGGGTTACTACAGAAAACCAGGAAGACAGAGTAGCTGGGTTCTCTCACTGTAAAAGGTTTCTGGGGCCTTAGGGTCCATGTGAGACCTCAAGTCCCCGGGAAAGCAAATCGCTCTACAAGGTGGCTTTCTCTTATTTAATGACATAATTTCTTAGTTAAAAGTAGCAGCTGTGTCAATTCCATTTCCCCAGTTGCAAGAGAAAGTTCTTGAGAAAATAAAAATCTGTCTTTAATTGCGATATTAAAATCAGAGCGGCGAAACCAACAACACAAAAGGAATTGGCTCAAGTTTATGAAAGGCATTTGGGCCCTTGCGTTGCAAGGCTAAACTGCACGCCTTGGAGGTTGGGGGTGAGGAGAAAAGGGGAGGAAGGGAGGGAGTAGTCAGGCAACCAAGTGGGACAGAAACAATCCTATTTTGGTTTTTGTTAGCGAATGGCATACTACATAGATCAGAGACTTCTTATAAAATACAAACCCCCACTGTACACAAAGCACAGGAAAATGTGAGGAAAAAAGGGAAAAACTAAAAGCAGCTTAGGGTGTGTTAACGCTGCTATTCTGTCAGCTTAAAGAGTATTTTATGCTTGATCAACAGCTCTTTTTTATTGTGCTTTTCTTTCATTCATTCAAGACATCAAAGCCGGGCACCACCAGCGTACCTGCCCTTCTGGAGCCGCTTATGACGGGGTTCTAATGAAGCACGACTCTGGGAGCCGGAGACCCCCGTGGACACGGCAGTTCAAAGAGAATATTTCAACAATGATTACATTTTGTAAATCTTTTTATGAAAGAGACAGCTTATTTCCTGCTTTTTCATGAAAAATAGATTCTATCCATTAAATTGAGCCCGCGCCACGGAAGCTGCTTGAGATCTGAGGTGCAGCGTGGAGATTAAGGGGACAATGACCCAATGAAATTGTCCAGAGTTCCTATCTATTTGGTCATGATGGCACTGCCGGATTTTCTGGGTGGAGCCCAGACAGTGCAGTAGATGGCTCTGCTGCGGAAAATGCAGTGGCGAGGGGGTTTCGCGGCTTTATTTTTCCACTCGGGCCTCATGTTTATTATCTGTTTCTTTGTATTTATTGATTCCACAAAGTCCAACAAATATCAGAAGACAGGCCACACTTTCTATCGCATAAGAGCAAGATAAAAGTTTTCAGTTGCAAATTCATTAAACGCTGTATTTTAATGCCCTGAAATGGGACAAACCCTTTTCCATATGGGAAGTTAGCCATAAAAAAGCTGGCTCCTGGTCTGAAGACACAATACAGGCTTTCTGATTGGCTAATGTCTCCCCCAAAGGCAAAAAATAAAGCAGCAGCCTAGCCCTTTGTAATTTTTGATTTTCACATTAAAATAATCTTTTCCTTCGCAATTTTTTTTTTTTTTAATTTTTTGGCAGGGGGAGAGTCGAGGAGAGTGGGGAAGGAAGGGAATATGACTTCCTGGGGAGCTATGAAATGAAAAAATGTATGTTTTCTACACATCGGATTCCAATTTTAATTAAATGCCTGTTGTCTAACAAGTGCAGACAGTCACACTTGGGGTTGGCCCAATGGTGGCCCAGGGAGGTAACCTTTCTTGTTTAAAAAGAGAGGCGTGGGAGTGGAGGCCGGAGCTCAGCAGAGCGTGGCCACATTGTAATAATCATTCCACGGCGTGCCTCCTCGCTCCTGCTCTTCCCAAACATGACTCAGGTTGAGAGCCTATCGATCGCGGAGACCTTAGTGTGGATTGTGCAGGAAGATAAAGTCCAGTTGGAGTGAAAATAACATTGAAGTAAAAAGTCCAGTTATTTCAAAAATTCTCCCAGATACATCCTGCAATAGTATGCCAGAAGATCTGGCCTCTTGCCAGAAATGAATTCCCAAACTAACCTTTCCAGCCAAGAAGCCCTTCAGACACTGGATAGCATCTGCCACCTTTAGACTTCTCCACCCCAGCAGGCACTTCCATGCTCAAGCCCTGGCACGAGTCTGCTCCTTACTTCTTTAATTCTCCCCTGTCCACCATTCCTGGTCTTTCGAGTTCCATTCTCTATCCCCTCCCACCCCTCAAGTTAGTGTCTCCCTCCCTCTCCACTTGTGTTTAATCCCTGTGCAGGAATCACGACAGGCCCCTACTCTCTCCCAGGCCATGCAGACCAACAGTCCCTAAGGATTAGGAGGAAGTGAAGAAGGCCTTGAGCTGCAAACCACAAGCCCTGGAAGGCTTCTGTTGTGAGCCAAGGAAACAAGACATACAGGCAGCATTTGGAGAGAATGCAAAGGAAATTGTGGCATCTGCCTTTTCATTTTCATGAGAAAAGATAGTGAGAGTACAGTGAGATGTCACTGAGCACTGGACTGTGGGTCTGGTGGCCTGGTTCAAGTCCCAGTTCAGTCACTGGCTTGCTGAGGGGCCTGAACTTCACCAGACCTCTCTAAGGATACTACAAGATCCTGTTGCTATGCCTTTCTTTACCTTCTAGGAACACCTGCTTTTAGATATCACTGGTGCCAGAAATCGTTGTTGTTGTTGTGTGTGTGTGTGTGTGTGTGTGTGTGTGTGTTTAAATCGTTCACAGGGTAGATGGGATATTGGCAGAGGTAAAACTGTTCCTATCTTTCATTGAGGTCAGAATGAACTTGCCTATGGAAAAAGTCAGATCATGGAGTCAGAGATCTAAATCCTAGTCTGTAGCGAGTCAGGGATCCAACTTTAACTTTTCTGCAAAACAGGCCTCAGGATACTAGTTATCACAGCATTTGAGGGAAAAAATAAAAACACAAAATGACTTTCAGATACTGACCT